CTGTTTAATGCTCTTCAAATGGGAATCTGTATTAGATATGTGTTTCATATATATGCTTTCTAGGGTTGGTTTGTTCCCTGTGGCGGCGCACATGCCTTGCGTGCAGAAGGTCTGGGGTTTGGTCTTTGGCATCTCCGCGTACAAATGATCTCAGCTTCTAAATGCCGGGAAAGACTTTTCTCTGCTTGAGCGCCTGCCGATCAGGGTGGGCATTACCAAGCTAGATGGGCCAATGGCCGATGGCCTGACTCAGTCTTGTGAGCAAAAAGTCTTCTTTGTGAGCTACCGGCATTAAAGTTGTGAGTGAGCGATTTGGATGCTGCATGAATTAGTTTGCTCTGGAGCCACATCCTTCCTGAGCGAAGACAAAAATGTGTGAGCTAGAAGCTGAAAAACTGTGAGCTAGCTCACAATGACTTAGCTTAGAGGGAACACTGGTTTAGATGGTCCCCAACATTTTTGAGCCAGTGGGCACATTTGGAATCCTGACACAGCATAGGGATGCAGCAACAAAACGGCTGCCACAAAATGGCTGCCGCGGGAGGCGGGGCCAGCCACAAAACGATGACCACGGTTTAACTTCAGTAACGCTGTGCAGATCCTTCTGCTCAGCCAGTCGAATCTCCAGTGGCCTGTCGGAAGCTTTGCTGGGCAAAAGCTCAATCTGGTCCCGCCAGCCTCTGTGCCACTTGACGGGCACCAGAAAAGATGTCAGGAGGTGCCATGGTGATGCCCACGACCACCATGCTGGGGACACCTAGCTTAGAGTATGCAAGTGGAAGAGTCACCTGCTCTCAACGTAAGCCTATGCCCCGTGTTCCTGCCTGACACTCCTGTAGGCATGCCCTCTGTTAGGAAGGACACAAGCCCAGAGCAGTTGCTCATAGAGTTGTGCGACGCTGAAACCTTTGCTGAAGGCAAATAATGGGGCTGCATTTCTACATGGTAAATCGTGCAATGAACCTGAAGCAGCAGAACTGGCCGAGAGCAACAAATGTCCATTGGCAAGCCATCACTCCATAGCAGTGATTCATGCAGAGAAGCAAAAGGCAGCCTCCTCTAAGGACAAGTAATTGTGCATCTCTGCAATGGGAATGACTTGACTATCAGACCGCACCAGACGCAGAGAATTACCCATTCCACAGTGCAAACTGTTAAGGAGTAGTCAAAGGTAGAGCAGTAAATCATACAGAGAAACACCGGAGAGCCTCCTTGAAGGGTGGGTGCTTAAGGCTCATGGGATTCTTCAATCCTTGAACTTCTATATTTCCCTAACAGCTGATGAATAATGCAATAGGCATTGTGCATAGTTCAAATCCCACTCATTTTTCAGCCCGAGTAATGTGCACTATTAGCTGCCTGCCTTACAGGGCTATTGTGAAGGGCACAACACGTACAAAGTATTTCAAACATGGACATTATCAGGGCTATTTTTGGGCAGGAATACCAGGAACGGAATTCCGGCTGGCTCCTGAGTTGGCCACACCCAGCAGGGACTCATTAGCATAATAGGCCACACCCAACAGCAGAAACTCATTAGGATTGGTTACAGTAGGTGTGTGTGGCCTAACATGCAAAGGAGTCCCTGCTACAAAAAAAGGCCCTGGGTTTTGACCACAAACAAGGTAAACAGAATAAGAAAAGGTGGGTGTGGCTGGATGACCACACTTCTGGCAATAGGGGGCTGTGGCCTAATATGCTAATGAGCTGTGGTGTCAAGGTGTGGCCTATTATGCTAATGAGTTCCTGCTGGGCTTTTTCTACAAAAAAAGCCCTGGACATTATTATCAGTGGCTCAGCATCTATTGAGGTTCCTGTATTCTTCTGGGAGAAATGCAAAGTGGTTGGTTTGAATGCAGACCACCCTCAATGGCTTTGGAAATGTACACTGTTCCCCCTCTCCATTTGTACAAGGTTATTGAGATGGTCTACAGTGTTTTGCGGGACTGGGATGATTCCGAATCTCACCGGCGAACGTGAGATGCTGTCTGCTGAAATACAACCACGCTGGGTCAGCGGTGTGTCTGGATGACAGCCTTTGACATCTTCACAGGCTGATCAGCAGCGGGACTCATTTTTTAATTTCCGGCATTATCATGCATGGGTGCAGCCGCGGCCTCTTCTGGGCAATGCGACAGGGTAAGCCATGTGTCGCGGTGGAGAGCAGGAAAGCCACAAAAGTGTGGGGGGGGAGGGGAGCGGGGGGGGGACCTAAAAAGGACCGAGAAAACCACACAACACCCCCTTCCCGAATACACAATAAAGCAAGAAAAATACATATATAAAATGCAAAACTGCCGAAACAAATATTGGCGGGCTCTCCTTCTCTGGAGGTTTTCAAACAGAGGCTAGATGGCCACTTGACAGCAGTGCTGATTTGGTGAGCTTGAGCAGATCGTGAGAGGGAGGGCAGGAAGGGTCGCATCAGGGCTTAGTTCTTGTGGTCCTTTCTGACACGCCCAGGGAAATGCCCATCGCCACTTTGGAGTCAGGAAGCAATTTTTCTCCAGGCCAGTTTGGCTGGAGATCCTGGAGGGGTTTTTTTTGCCATCTTCTAGGTATGGGGTGTGTGTGTGGGGGGGGTGAGGTATTTGTGAATTTCCTGCGTTGTGCAGGGGGTTGGACTAGATCAGAGGTGTGAAACTCATTTGTTACGAGGGCCAGATCTGACATGAATGTCAGTTTGTTGGGCCGGGCCATGTGTGCCTTAAAACGTATTGCCAGGTACCGGAGATATAGACTGTATAAAGGACGGCAGCTGTTAAGTTCCGAGTTGGTGTATCCTCACCACAAGGCCCCATGGGTTGGGAGGGGGATCCAGAGGAAACCCCACATAGGCGGACTGGAGAGCCAGCAGAGCGAAATTGGGCAGATGCTCAATGACGCTTGACTGCTGCAGACGAGGTTGTTCTGCCATGCGGAAGCCACAATGGAGTGGCTCCACCAACTCCTGAGTACTCCCTCCTAGTTGCTTGCGGGCCGCATAAGAGCCCTGGACGGGCTGGTTCTGGCCCCCGGGCCTTATGTTTGACACCCTGAAGGTCCCTTCCAACTCTATGATTCTGTGATTCTGGTACTGCACAATTACCCCATTTATGTATTTAATTCATTTGCACCCCGCCTTTCTCCCCAATGGTGGGACTCAAAGTGGCTTACACCATTCTCCTCTCCTCCATTTTATCTTCACAACAACCCGGTGAGGTAGGTTAGGCTGAGAGTGACTGGATTAGGACTGGGGAGACCTGGGTTCAGGGCTTCGGCCAAACTGTAAAACCCATGGCGTGACTTTAGGTCCATCATTTTCTCTCTCTCCCTAACCTACCTTGCAGGGTTGTTTTATTACCCACTATTAATTTCTAAACTCGCAAAGAATCTCAGAATACAAAAGAGTTAGCATCTACTGGAACGGTGGCCGGGAAGGAACAGCTCCCTGTTTTATGGATTCTTCTCATAACTCCTCCTCCTGTGCTGGCTGCCAATTTGCTTCTGAGCACGGTTCGAAACACTGACCCTTAGCTTTAAATGGCCTGAGATGAGGATAACTGAAGAATGGCTGTCTCCAGTAACCCCCTGCCTGCCAGTCAAAAGCAGCATGTCAACGCTTTTCTCTATATGCCTCCATCTTTTGAAGCGAGAAGCAGAGATGGGGCTTTTTCAGGAGAAGAGTTGGTCTTTATATCCCGCTTTTCTCTACTTGAAGGAGTCTCAGAGTGGCTTACAGTCGCCTTTCCCTTCCTCTTCCCACAACGGGCAGCCTGTGAGGCAGGTGGGGCTGAGAGAGCTCTGAGAGAACTGTGACTGGCCCGAGGTCACCCAGCTGGCTTCACGTGGAGGAGTGGGGAATCAAAACTAGAATCCACCACTCTTAACCGCTACACCACGCTGGCCAGTGGTGCAGTGTTGACACCTCAAGTGGTGGCACCTTAGCTGCAAAATGTGCATCCATACGTACACCCCAATATTCCCCCGGTGCCCTCTCTCTAAGATTTTAGATACAAAGTGACGACATTTTCATTTGCTTTGCAATTTTAGCTCATATGACGGCGTTTGTGGACAGCCCTCATGGAAATGCTACCATTGCTGAAGCCATTTTATTGTGCTTTTAACTCCGCAATATCCCCTCTCGCTTTTTAATGCTGATGTTTCATTCTGCCGGTTTTATTCATATTCCTGCTTACTGTTTTTAATGGTTTTAGAAGAAGAAGAAGAGATTGGATTTATACCCCGCCCTTCACTTGGAGTCTCAGAGCGGCTTACAAACTCCCTTCCCTTCCCCTCCCCAGAACAGACACCCTGTGGGGTGGGTGGGGCTGAGGGAACTCTGACACAAACTGCTCTTTTTCAAGGACAGCTGTGCCAGAGCTTGTGACTGACCCAAGGTCACACCAGCAGCTGCTTGTGGAGGAGTGGGGAATCAAACCCGGTTCTCCCAGATTAGAGTCCGCGCACTTCACCACTACACCAAACCGGCTCTTTAATGACCTTAGTGTTTACTGATTCCTTGGGAAGCTGCTTTAGGCATGTTTCATGGGCAAACCAGTCATGCAAATATATAGATGAAAGATCAAGGAGGGGCTGTGGCTCAGTGGTAAAGTGCCTGCTCGGCATGCAGAAGGTCTCAGGTTCAATCTCCGGCATCTCTTTCTAAAAGGACCAGGTGGTAGGTGACATGAAAGACTCCACCGGAGTCCCTCAAGAGCATCTGCCAGTCTGAGTAGATAATACTGATCTTGATGGACTAAGGGTCTGATTCCGCACAGGGCAGATTCATGCATTAGGGGAGGAGCTGTGACTCCATGGTAGAGCATCTGCTTGGCATGTAGAAGGCCCCAGGTTCAATCCCCAGCATCTCCTGCTAAAAGGAACGGGTGATAGTTGACGTGAAACACTCCACCTGAGACCCTGGACGGCAGCTGCCAGCATGAGTAGACAACACTGACCTTGACAGACCAAAGGTCTCATTCGGTATAAGGCAGCTTCATGTCTCTTTGTTCATGTACCTCGTAGACAGTCCCGTCAGCACGGTGAAGCAGTCCATGGCCTTGCCTCTGGTCCAGGATCCAGTCGCCTTCATATTCATCCCCGTTTCTTAAAAACCAAAGAAAAATATATTAGCCAGGAGGAAGGGCTTAGAGGGATTGGAGATTCCACCGGGAACATACTCTTGCTGAGTAAGAACGTCAGGGCAGCACAGTGTGAGTCTGGATGTGTTCAAAAGTTGTTGTATTGGAATATTTTTTGGCAAAGACTGGAGGCCTATTTCAGATATATAAAATACTTGGGGGGGGGATTCCCATGTTCGTATTTTCTACTGCAAATGCTCTGAAACATGTATGAAGCTGCCAGGACCACCAAACTTGTGATGACCAGGGCTAGGGTGTTTTCGGTGGCGGCTCCTATCTGGTGGAATGAGCTCCCAGAGGAGATCCGGGCTCTGCGGGACCTAGTACCGTTCCGCAGGGCCTGCAAGACGGAGCTCTTCCGCCAGGCTTTTGAATAGGAGCCGCCACCATCACTGTTCCACCAACGCCCTATGAGTTCCGCATATTGCCATCTTGATGTGGGCATCATTGGAGGGGACGGGACGTCTTTTAGGGGACGGTAGGGCAGTGGGATATGCACTGCCGTAGTTGTCTAGCTATGTTACTGAGAACGCCATCTTGCTTTTAAAAATCTTAACATCTGGAAGCGAATAGAGGAGCACCAAATTTGTTTTAGGATGTTATTTAACTGTTTGTTATTTGTCTATGTGTAATTTAACATTTTATATTGTTTTATCTGGCATTATGCCCTGTTAGCCGCCCTGAGCCTGCGGGGAGGGCGGGATAGAAATCTAAATAATAAATAAAAATAAATAAATTATACCGAATCAGACCCTTGGCCCATCAAGGTCAGTACTGTCAACTAAGACTGGCAGCAGCTCTCCAGGGTCTTGGGTACAGATTTTTCACACCACCTACTACCTGGTTCTTTCAACTGGAGATGCCGGGGATTGAACCCGGGACCTTCTGCATGCCAAGTAAATGTTCTTCCACTGAGCCGCAGCCCCTTCCCTGCAGTCTGATGGACATCTCAGGGAGGAACTGTGGCTCCATGGGAGGGATGTATGAATACGTCCTTCTCCATTTCTTTTCTTGCTTTGTTCTCCCATACTGTCTCCATTCATCTTTTTATTCTGCTAGCTTTTCATTGCTGATGCTCTCAATTCATTTGTTTCTTTGATGCCCTTTTAAAACACTATATGCCACTTACACGCAACCGATTTGACAATAACATTGTAAAGACACATTCATTTAGCCAGGAGGGGAAAAGGCAAATGGACCCAAAATAAAGGGCTCATGGGTTCACAGTTCACAACAGGGAGAAGAAAACTTGAAAACAGCGATTGAATGAGGAATTCGATAGCATCCATCCTTAAGCAGCAGGGCAGATGCTCTGCATGAAGAAGGGCTCAGGTTTGGTTTTTGGCGTCTCCAGTTGAAGAGTCTCAGATAGCTGGAGATGGAAAAAGCCCTTTCTTCACCTGATATCCCAGAGAGCTGTTGCCAAGTGCAGAGAATGATAAACTGTGGTATTCATTTATTCCAACAGCTGAGCCACGACCGCATCCTGCTCGGATCCCCTCTGGCTTCCATGACTTTCAGGTAGTCCACAGTTTAGCAGCACAGTCCACGTTTTGCCTGTCCAGGTTCAGCCCCTGGCATCTGCATTCAAGCAGCAAGTGCTGAACTGACAAACACAGCAAGCTGCTCTATACTAAATCATACCATTGGTCTATCAAGGTTAGTCTTGTCTACTCTGACGGGCAACAACTCTCCAGGGTCTTAGGCTGTGGTCTTTCACATCACCTACTACCTAATCCTTTTCGCTGGAGATGCTAAGGAATGAACCTGGGACCTTCTGCACGCCAGACACCGCTGCTGAGTCATGGCCTCTTCCTTACACTAAGGAACACAGAAACCTGCCTTATAGAGACTCATTAGTTTATCAGTCAGTACTGTGTAATTTGGTGTAGAGCCAGTTTGGTGTAGTGGTTAAGAGCGTGGACTCAAAGCTGGGAGAACCGGGTTTGATTCCCCACTCCTCCACTTGCAGCTGCTGATGTGACCTTGGGTCAGTCACAAGCTCTGGCACAGCTGTCCTTGAAAAAGAGCAGTTTGTGTCAGAGCTCTCTCAGCCCCACCTACCTCACAGGGTGTCTGTTGTGGGGAGGGGAAGGGAAAGGAGTTTGTAAGCCGCTCTGAGACTCCAAGTGAAGGGCGGGGTATAAGTCCAATCTCTTCTTCTCTTCTTCTGCTCTGCTGGGCAGCCACGCTCGGGGTTCTGAGGTCTGGGTCTTTCACCTCACCTACTTCCTGATCAGTGTTCCCTCCAAGCTGAGTTAGTGTGAGCTAGCTCTGAGTTTTTTAGCCTCCGGCTCACACATTTTTGTCTTCGCTCGGGAAGGACGGCTCCAGAGCAAACTGATTTATGCAGTAGCCAAATCGCTTGCTCACAACTTTAATGCCAGTAGATCACAAAGTAGAATTTTTGCTCACAGGACTTCACACCTTAGAGGGAGCATTGTTCCTGATCCATTTAAATGGAGGTGCCGGGGACTGAACCTGGGACCTTCTGAGTGCAAAGCAGATCCTCTACCACTGAACCACACATCACACCGCTGGGAAAGACAGCTCTTTGCCTGAGACCCTGGAGAGTCACTGCTAATCACACAGGACATTCTGCAGATGTGCCCCCCACACCGGGCCAGAACTCCAAAGACGCCTGCAGGCTCAAAGTGGTTGAGGACCCCTGATGCAGGGGCTGATTTCGCCTCACCCCTCCTCCTCCTCACTCCAGCTTGGTGTAGTGGTTAAGTGTGCGGACTCTAATCTGGGAGAACCGGGTTTGATTCCCCACACCTCCACTTGCACCTGCTGATGTGACCTTGGGTCAGTCACAAGCTCTGGCACAGCTGTCCTTGAAAAAGAGCAGTTTGTGTCAGAGTTCTCTCAGCCCCACCCACCTCCCAGGGGGTCTGTTGTGGGGAGGGGAAAGGAAGGAGTTTGTAAGCCGCTCTGAGACACCTTTGGGTAGTGAAGGGCGGAGTATAAATCCAATCTCTTCCTCTTCTTCTTCTTCTTCTTCTTCTTCTTCTTGCTCTTCTATGAAGCCAGTTTGGTATAGTGGTTTAAGAGTGCGGCCTGTAATCTGGGAGAACCGGGTTTGATTCCCCACTCCTCCACATGCAGTCGCTGGTGTGACTTTGGGTCAGCCACAAGTTCTCTCAGAGCTGTCCTCTCAAGAGCAGTCCTCTCAAGAGCTCTCTCAGCCCCACCTACCTCACAGGGGAGGGGAAGGAGGAGAGGGGAAGGGAAAAGAGACTGTAAGCCATTCTGAGACTCTGAGTGAATGGCGGGGTATAAACTGAATCTCTTCTTCTTTATAAATGAGGGTGTTCTCAGCACTGCCTTCACGGGGATTAAAAGGGGCTGCTGGGGAGGGGGAAGATCCACTCCCGTGAGCACGTCATGCTTGCAGTCTGTAGAATCCCCCCCAATGTTTTTATTTAATTGCTTTTGCTTTAGCCAACGTTCTAAAGCTGCCCGGAGCACTTTGTTTTGGGACATGAATGCGTCAAATAAATAACAGAATGAAACTGGGGAGGGGGGGAGAGCCCTTACTTGAACCTCATTTTCCCTCCTCCGTGTCTCTTGTTTTCGTGGAAGCTGCCTTCATATTGCTGCCCATCCTTGTCGGTCAGTAATCCGTGGCCTAAAAAGAAACCGGGAAAAAGTTGGGACGGAGGGAAGGTTAAGTAAATTGGAAGAGAACAATGGGCAGAAAACAACTGGTTTTGAAACTGCGGAAGGGGGGGGGAATCAGATCAGAAAACGGCTAATGGATTGCTAAAAACTAACTATTTTATTTGATTCCCCCCCCCCCATTGCTGTCCTTTTGCCAAGGCATTTAGGGCAGCGGCAAAGGTGTTCTTCCCTCCTACTCCATGTCATCCCAGAAATGCACTTTATAGGTTAGGCTGAGAGACATAAACAGGCCTGGAGTCACCAGCTTCTCACAGGCCAGTCTTGACTATGGTCTCCTCTGTATTCAGTGGCGGCCCCTTTGTAGAACTCTGTTCCCACTGCGGCTCATCTGCAGGCAGGTTTACATGCCTTCGATCTTGAGCGATGCTCCCTCTAAGCTGTGGAGTCTTGTGAGCAAACCTTCTACTTTGTGAGCTACTGGCATTAAAGTTGTGTGAGCGAGCGATTTGGCTACTGCGTAAATGAGCTAGCTCCAGAGCCCTCCTTCCTGAGCTAAGACAAAAATGTGTGAGCTGGAGGCTGAAAAAACGTGCGCTAGCTCACATGGGGTCGCAAAGAGTCGGACTCGACTGTGCGACTGAACAACAAAGTTCACACTAACTCAGCTTAGAGGGAACATTGGTCTTGAGGCAAAGGCATCTTTATCTTTCCAAGTATTTTAGAGGACCGGCACGGGGTTTTCAACTTCCTTGTCTATTTATACCCCTGCTGTTCTTTTTAGTCCTGGCTCTTTTTATTCTAATGATTTTTGGGGGGAGGAGGGTTTCAGTGTCTGTTAGTGCAATTCTAAACAGAGGTATGCCTCTCTAAGTCCACGAACTACAAAGGTGCAAGTCTGCTTAGTATGGCAGATGGACCACTGGTCCCATCCAGCAGGCTACTCATGTATTTATGAAATTCTCCAGTGAACGAGGAGCTCCTATTTGGAAGAAGAAGAAGAAGAGGAAGAGGAGGAGCAGATTGGATTTATACCCCGCCCTTCACTACCTAAAGGTGTCTCAGAGCGGCTTACAAACTCCTTTCCCTTCCCCTCCCCACAACAGACACCCTGTGAGGCAGGTGGGGCTGAGAGAGCTCTTGACAGAAACTGCTCTTTTTCAAGGACAGCTCTTATCAGAACTATGGCTTGCTCAAGGTCATCTAGCAGGTACAAGTGGAGGAGTGGGGAATTAAGCCCGGTTCTCTCAGATTAGAGTCCCTGGGAAGGTAACAGCGTTCCGTGCACCTTGGTGTTTAGTCATGCCGGCCACATGACCACGGAAACGTCTTCGGACAGCGCTGGCCCTTCGGCTTTGAAACGGAGATGAGCACCGCAACCCTAGAGTCGGATTCAACTGGCTTTCGAGCAAGGAAAACCTTTACCTATACCGTGCAGGACTTTCTACGTGGAGATCTGTTCTCCTGAGCCACTGCTCTTAAGGATGTCCAAAACCCACCTTCCCCCAGACGGCCTCCACCCACGCTTTGCTCTTACCTTCTTGCACTCCATAGCAGAAGTCCCCTTCATATTTCCGGCCATCTTTACACTGCATGACTCCGTGCCCGTGGAGCTCCCCATAGAGAAACTGGCCCGAATAAGTATTCCCTTGAATCAAATATACGATAAAGTAAAACACCAAGGGGGAGGGGGGCGATTCCTCTGGCAAACGCCGCTTAATAATCCCTGATGTGCCAATAAAGACTCTGACCATTCCTTTCTTGGGGAGCGGCGATAGGAGACATTACAAGTGAATAATTACCGAGTGGCTTTTTATTACCAGGACAGCTTAATGAAGAACAAAGGAAGTGTTCATTGGGTCTTTATCTTACAAACTAATGGAATCGTAATCCATATTCCTCCAGGTCTTTAAAACCAAGGTATCTTAATGCCACATTACAAAAAAAAAAGAGAGAGAGAGATTCACAGTATGTTCTTTATGGTTAAGGGAGGAATAAAGAGTACTTTCATTTCATAGTCGACTTAACAGCTTTTTGATGGCACACACTCGTTCAAAGTCCTTTGTAACGGGGGGACTTGTTACAGTGAATGCTAAGCAAGCCCCAGAAGTAAGGTCTGGTTTCTATGTGATGTGGCAGAAGAGATTCCCCATGCAAGGGACCTAGGAGCCACACTAGACGTTATAGCGGCCACAGGTCTGACTCGTAGCCATTGACACCATTTTAGAGAGGAAGAAGAAGAGTTGGATTTATACCCCGCCCTTTACCTGGAGTCTCGGAGTGGTTTACAATCTCTTTTCCCTTCCCCTCCCCACAACAGACACCCAGTGAGGTAGGTGGGGCTGAGAGAGCTCTCTTGAGGACTGCTCTTGATATAACAGCTCTGAGAGAACTGTGACTGACCCAAGGCCACCCAGCCGGCTTCATGCGGAGGAGTGGGGAATGAAATCCAGTTCTCCCAGATTAGAGTCCATCGCTCTTAACCACCACACCAAACTGGCTCTCATGTAGCAAGGGCCCCATTCTGATTGGGCTCATGGTGTGGGGAGACTGGGAGATCTTGTTCCACCCCCATTCCATGTGCTGACCCCATCCAACTGTTTCGGTGCTTGAAAAGGAATGGGATGGGGAACAGGATCATCTGGATCTCCCCGTCTTGTGGGCCTTACAGCATTTTTAAAATGGAAAAAAATATTCTCTAAAATGGTATTGGTGGCCACAGGCTGGATCTATTGCCAACATAACTTCTAGTTCGGTCTTGTGTCTCCTTGAACTAAGTTAAGCTCCATTCAGCGTAAACTTGCTTATATGTTTAGCATCTGGGAGGACCCCTAGTTCAGTGGTAGAACACCTGGTTTGCATGCAGAAAGTGCCAGGTGCGGTCCCCGGCATCTCCAGTTAAAGCGATCAGGTAATGGGTGAATTCCAAGTGTTAATCACTCTTTGGGTGAAGAATTACTTCCTTTTATCCGTTCTAACCCGGCCGCTCAGCAATTTCATGGAGTGCCCACGAGTTCTTGTATTGTGAGAAAGGGAAAAAAGTACCTCTTTCTCTACCTGCTCTTTCCCATGCATAATCTTATAAACCTCAATCATGTCACCCCTCAGTCGTCGTTTCTCCAAGCTAAAGAGCCCTAAGCGCCTTAACCTTTCCTCATAGGGAAAGTGTTCCAACCCTTTTATCATTCGAGTTGCCCTTTTCTGCACTTTTTCCAAAGGCAGTACTGTCTACTCAGACTGGTAGTAGTTCTCCAGGGTCTCGGGCTGAGGTTTTTCACATCATCTACTACTTGGTCCTTTTTAACTGGAGATGTTGGGGATTGAACCTGGAACCTTCTGTATGCCAAGGAGATGTTCTACCACCAAACTATGACCCCTCTTGCCAGTGGTCTGACTCAGTACAAGGCAGGTTCATGAGCTCATGCCTTGTTTAAACTGGGCTGCGGCCTGCGCAAAACAACTACACATGCTTAGTTGCAGGTCCAGGGACCTGTAGCCCTGACGGGTCTTGTCTTCACGGGTTGCAGCCCAGTTTAAATGAGAGAAATCCCCACCAGGAGTTCATTATGTCACCAGCATCATGTGTAAACCAGGCCTAAGTCCCTTTGAAGGAAGTTAAACTTGCTTCAGAACAAACTTGCTTACAGGTACATGTGAAGCTATTTTACACTGTATCAGTCTCTTGGTCCATATAGCCCAGACTAGTTTAGCAGGGAACGATGTCTCTGTAGGATCTGAGGGCAGAGAAGGACCTGTGGCCCTTTCTTTGCAGGCGCCTGGACCTGGGACCTTCTGCAAATCATGTGCTCTGTTACTGCATCATGGTCCTTATCTATAGAGAAGGATGCAAGAGGTCACATCACATGTTATGGATGTTTTAAGCCAATGGCAGTTCTGTCAGGTGGACCAGTGTGACTTCTTTGTCAGTAGGGGAAACAAATTATGCCATTGTTGTATGTTGTGATGGATTAATACCTACATAGAAGAATCTGGGATGAAAATACCTTACATCCTTAGGAAGAGTGCAGCTCAGCCAATGAGAATCAGAGCCACTTTTTGATTTGTTCATTCCCTCTATGACAAGCACACAGCTGAGCCAATCCCTGCCAGCAGCTTTCAACCACCACCAAATCCTTCAGTGCCTTACAGTACACATCGTACGTATCACCAGCCATGCTAACCTGTATGTGCCCAGTATCGAAATCCATTGCCCACAATTTCTCCATTTACAAACTCGCCTTCGTAATAACTTCCATCCTTAAACAGCAACTTCCCATGACCTGAAAAAGCAAAAAAAAAACACCCTTCAACAAAATGATAGTGACGAAAGCAGGCAATGAGACATCATTGACCTCTGAAGGCTACCTGTGTGCAGAACTCTTAATTCTGACAAATACACACACACATATTAATTTTTTTGAGATCTTGCTTAAAGAAGAAGAGGAAATCAGATTTATACCCCGCCCTTCACTACCCGAAGGAGTCTCAGAGCGGCTTACGATCTCCTTTCCCTTCCCCTCCCCACAACAGACACCCTGTGAGGTAGGTGGGGCTGAGAGAGCTCTCTCGCGAACTGCCCTTGAGAGAAGAAGAAGAAGAAGAGAAGAGGAGATTGGTTTTATACCCCGCCCTTCACTACCCAAAGGTGTCTCAGAGTGGCTTACAAACTCCTTTCCCTTCCCCTCCCCACAACAGACACCCTGTGAGGTAGGTGGGGCTGAGAGAGCTCTTGACAGAAATTGCTCTTTTTCAAGAACAGCTGTGCCAGAGCTACGGCTTGTCCAAGGTCATCCAGCCAGGTGCAAGTGGAGGAGTGGGGAGTCAAACCCGGTTCTCCCAGATTAGAGTCCGCGCACTTAACCACTACACCAAACTGGCTCTCCAGTACCTTCCAAAGACAATTCCTTAATGAATCTCTGTTTTCCCACCCTGCCTCTTGACAAACAGAAAAGCCATTCTAGACTTCTGACTAATTGCAATCTCTTTCTACAGAGTTCTTCTGCCATCCAGTGGTAAACACTGCAAATGTCTTGCCACGAGATTCACCTTCCTGGTTTGTAAATATGAAATTTAATTGACAAGGCAAGGAGTCTTGACCAGAACAGATTAGCGCTTTTGAGCTCTCCATGAAAAGTTTTAACACCAATTTTTTAACACTAACTAGCCTAAGTAAGAAAAAGCCTGACCTCCTAGTCTTATTTTTAAAACTTGGCTCAATCACTGAAATCAAAGATTTATTCCAAACCCTGCCTCTACCCACTGTACATTAACAAACCGGCGGAGCACAGTGGTTAACGGCCTGTGCTACAAGACAGAAATCTCATTTCCACCATACCCTTTCTGTCACATTGTTATCTCAACCTTACTCCAAAAGAGATCGATCAACATGTGTAGCTGTGTGTGACGACCCCTTAACTGGGGAGGTCTGGTTTTACTTTAAAAGTGTTTTTTATATTTTATTCTACTGGATATTCTGGCTGCCACCAGGAAATTTTAAAAGGATTTCCAAACCTTTATGCTCTCTCTATTTCTGGGTAGGTATGTCGAGGGTTTAAGGCATTCGAGGTACTATGTGGTCCTGGGAAGTATTTCTTTCAGAGTGGGTATATTTGAATAAAAGAGGATTTATTGAAGTAATTCACAAATAAAAGATTAACTCATTGTAACCAGGAAGGCTTGAATATTGAACAAATGCTTGGTGTACCACACACTTTTCCCTCTTACTGACAGGGATCTGGGCATGTAACCTTGTAACCCTTTTCCCTTCAGGCCATATACGGTTACTGTTTCTTTATACTTCAACTTTTCATAACACACAAGATTCTCTCTCCTTCAGACTTCAGAATGCTCTTAACTTATCAACTGTCTTATTCAACTCTAAGACATAGAACTTAACAACCCACACAGGGATAAGTCTCCTTCTCTCTCATACATAGCTTAACTGAACTTTTTATCAACTGTCCTCTCTAACTGACCCCCTTGATAGACATTCAAATCCTCCACACAGCATCCATTCCAAAACCCCTCCCACTCTCTGTCACTCACCAATCATATCACTTGCCTAATTCCAGCACTCTAGATTATCATCACAGCCATGCAAACCAAACTTTTAAAGCCACACACACACAGTTAAACATGAAAACATTACACTGTGTTAGTCTGTCTGTAGCATTAGAAAAGAGCAAGAGTCCTGTAGCATCTTAAAGACTAACAAAATATGTGGCAGGGGAAGAGCTTTCGTGGGTATCTGAAGAAGTGAACAGTGACTCATGAAAGCTCATATCCTGCCACATACCTTGATTCATAGAACTTACATTCCAGGTTCCTATGCAGTATTGTTCTTTGCTGCATCGGACTTTCCTTTCACTGTCAGACACATCCACAGCTGAACATCCTTTCGGCTTTGGCTCAGCCGCTTCATTCTTTCTAGGGTTACTTGTACTTGCCCTCTGCTCTTCCCCAGTAGCATATTGGACACCTTCCGACCTAAGGGGCTCATCTTCCGGCATTATATCTTTTAGCCTTTTGTTACTGTCCATGGGGTTTTCTTGGCACTGGAGTGGGTTGCCATTTCCTTCTCCAGTGGATTGCGTTTTGTCTGAGTTCTCCACTGTGGCCTGTCCATCCTGGGTGGCCCTCCACGGTATAGCCTGCAGCCTCATCGAACCACATAAGCCCCCTCGCCGCAACAAGGCAGCGATCCATGAGAGGGCTTGTCAGGGATACTCCAAGCTGATCCTGCACTGAGCAGGGGGTTGGACTAGATGGCCTGTCTGGCCCTTTCCAACTCTGTGATTCTCTGATTCTTTGATATTTTGTTAGTATTTAAGGTGCTACTGGACTCTTACTCTTTTCTATTACTCCAAGGAGCTCAAGGCAACATACGTTGTTCTCTCTGCTGACATTCACAACCCCATAAGGTAGGCTAGGCTGAAAGGGGGACTAGCCCAAGGTCACCCAGTGAGCTAAGTGAATTGTGTCTTGAACCCAGGTCTCTCCAGGGCACCACTCTAACCACTAAATCTCAGTGGCTCTCACGGCTCTCTCATAAAGTAGACTTCTCTCACCGTGTTTCTTTCCTTCTTTCCATTCCCCTTCATATTGGAAAAAAGAATTCGAATAAATATAACGTCCATAACCTGAAAGAAAGGGAAGCAAAAGTTATAAGGTCTCTCAGAACTACAGCTCATCTTCAGAAAATGGCTGCTTTGGATGGTGGATTCTATGGCAACACTCCTTGCTGAAATCCCTCCTGCACCCCTCACACTGTTCTCCAAAGCCTCCACTCCCCAAATCTCCCCAAATTCCCCAAACCAGATTTGGCAGCTCTACATGTCCTACATATAGTCAGCTCCAAGAGGATCCCACCGCTGGTCACCGGAAGTGGGGGGGGAGGGGGGGATTTGGACCGTATACATATACACACATACATATATACACACACATAGGTAATTTATATATATATACACACACAGACACACACATATATATGTGTATATATATGTGTGTGTGTGTGTGTGTATACATATACAGACAGACAGACAGAAGAGAAAAAGAAGAGATTGGATTTATACCCCGCCCTTCACTACCCAAAGGAGCCTCAGAGCGGCTTACAAACTCCTTTCCCTTCCCCTCCCCACAACAGACCCCCTATGAGGCAGGTGGGGCTGAGAGAGCTCTTAACAGAAACTGCTCTTTTTCAAGAACAGCTCTGACAGAACTATGGCTTGCCCAAGGCCATCCAGCAGCTGCAAGTGGAGAAGTGGGGAATCAAACCTGGTTCTCCCAGATTAGAGTCCTCGCACTTAACCACTATTTATTTATTTTATTTATTAATTTGATTTTTATCCCTCCCTCCCACCAAACTACACACACACACACACAAATATATATACACACAAATATATACACACACACACACACAATTTATTATATAATTGGAAGGGTACAGGAAAAAAGGGGAGAAGGGTATCAAAAAGGTCGTGAATCATCAGAAACTTCTACATTTTGCAATTGTCGAGGACACCGTTCTAATACATAATATAATGCCCAGATCCAGGGGAGGATATCTTCTCAGACCATATACTGCCTCTCAACATAGACTATACTCAGCGTATACTGCCTGTGGACACGGAGGTTCTATCTATTTAGCTATCCTAGCCAACACTTTTGAAGCCTCTCCGGTTTTACGCCGTTCGGGCAAACCACCGCAACCCGTCCAGCGTGCCGCTCGAACCCTCACCGTGCCGCCGCTGGTCTTTCATTTCCCCCCGGTACATGCCCGGCCTGGAGTCCGCCATGTCCCTCCTTCCCTCCTCCAGGACGCTACAGCTTAGCAACCGATTCCTGGAGCCGATTGGCTGCCCAGGAGTTAGGGGGCGGAGCTTCCTCGCTTTCCCGGCGGGTTTCCTTGATGGGAACTTGCGCGCGGCATCCCCACATTCTCCGCCTAACATTCTGCCAATGGCGTCTATTGCAAAGGGGTAGGATGCTTGACCTCTTTGGATATCCTGAGGAACGGCATCAGAGATAACTTGTGATCGCATTACTACGATTGCATTACTGCGGTGCAAGAAAGCGAAAAATAAGAGGGAAGGATGACAAATTATTGTTTCAATGTACTCATTTTTTAATTGATTTATTGATAGCCCGCCTTTCTTCTCATTGGGAACCCAAAGTGCCTTACGTCGTTCTCCTCTTCTCCATTTTGTGCTCACAACAACACTGTGAGGTAGGTTAGTCTGAGAGTGTGTGAGTGGCCCAAGGTCGCCCAGCCAGCTTCCATGGCAGGGCAAGGATTCAAACCTGGATCTCCCAGCCCCTAGTCCGACACCCAAACCACTACATTAAAATTAACAACTGAGGCAGGCACACATGAGACAATGCTAGTGTATGTGCACAGGATCAGATTTCAAAGCACGCAGCTGGAGGGGACCAAATGATTCTGAAACCGACACCAATTTAAACTTTCTATTCTAGTAGTGCATGCCCAATCTCGTAGTCTTTACAGATATATATATAGAATCATAGAGTTGGAAGGGGTCATACAGACCATCTAGTCCAACCCCCTGCCCAATGCAGGACCAGCCTAAAGCATCTCTGACAAATATTCCTGCAGTCTCTTTTTGAAAGCTGTCAGTGAAGGGGAGCTCACCACCCTAGGCAGCTGATTCCACCTTGGAACCACTCTGACCGTGAAAAAGTTTTTCCTAATATCCAGCCGATACCTCTCTGCACGTAATTTGAACCCGTTGCTTCAGGTATAGGTATTGAAGTTGTAAAAAAATTGTTTTATGCTTTGTTGCAGATAGTTCAAGAAGAGTAGTAGTACAAAATAACTACAAATAACTAGTATAAAGTGGGGTTGCCAGTTCGGGATTGGAGATTTGGGGGGTGAGTGGGGTTTGGGGTGGGGAGGAACTTTAATGGGGTATATTGTCATAGATTCCACCTTCCAAAGTGGCCATTTTCTCCAGGTAAACTGATTACTATCACCTGGAGATCAGTTGTAATCCCAAGAGATCTCCATCCACCACCTGGAGGTTGACAACCCTAGTATAAAGTAATTGCAACAAACTAACATGGCTACCGCTATGTAATCATGCTACGCTCTTTTGGATCAGAGTCCGCTTTGTCAGATTATGGAGCGATCACCTAAGACAGAGGTGTCAAACTCATTTGTTATGAGGGTCAGATCTGACATAAATGAGACCTCGTTGGGCCGGGCCATGTGTGTCATAAAATGTAATGCCAGGTAGCGGAGATATAAACTTTATAAAGGACACAAACACAAAGGGTTTTTTTTTTACTTAAAATAAAAACATGGTTTAAACATTAGCTCTCTTGCAATATTTTGTTTATTTAACAGTGTCTGATAACTGACACCTCTTGCTCTGAATTATTGCATCAAAATGTCTGTGCTGTTGCAATCTTGAGTATGCTGTTCAGGTGTGTATCTGTAAGCTGCAAATCTAGGATGATGCAGCAGCAGCAGAACTGGAAGAAGCAGCAGAAGACAGACAGTTCCACGGAGGGCCTGATAGAAGCCCTCTAGGGGCCTGATCTGGCCCCCGAACGGCATGTTTGACACCCCTAAGAGTTCCAAATGTTTACCAGGTCAGGGCAATACATGTACAAGCAAATGTGGAGGAAATCAACAAGAATCAGCAGGTGAAACCTGGCCTTTTTAGTGACTGCACCCAGTCTGTGCATTCATGTGACAGCCCCCCCCCCCAACTTCAAATGCGTGGCTGTTTTTATTTCAAATGGAGCTGCGGTGGCTCAAGTGGTTAAGATGCTGAACTGCAGCCTGTGGAAGGTCGGAAGTTCAGCAGTTCGAGACCCGGGTGCCGCATGACGGAGTGAGCTCCCGTCTCTAGTTCCAGCTCCTGCCAACCTAGCAGTTCGAAAGCAAGGAATTGCAAGTAGATAAATAGGGACCACTTCGGTGGGAAGGGAACAGCATTCCGTGCGCCTTGGTGTTTAGTCATGCCGGCCACATGACCACGGAAACGTCTTCGGACAGCGCTGGCTCTTCGGCTTTGAAACGGAGATGAGCACCGCAACCCTAGAGTCGGACTCGACTGGCTTTCGAGCAAGGGAACCTTTACCTTTTCTTTTTATTTCAAAATCTATGTGAGGCTAAAGATGCCAGCCTCCAGGTGGGACCTGGGGATCCCCCAGAATTACAGCTGATCTCCAGACTAGAGATCCATTTCCCCTGAGAAACTGGGTGCTTTGGAGGGTGGACTCTATGTTATTATACCCCACTGGGGTCCCTATCCTCCCCAAGCTCCAGCCCCACATCTATAGGAGTTTCTCAACCTGGAGCTGACAGCCCTATCTCTGCCAGTGGTTAGGAGGAACCCAGCAACTCTGTTTGACGATGAGCTTTTACGACTGTACATTTCTTCCTTTGCGACACTGAACAAGGATCTATGAAGAGTTCTCTGGGCTCAGAGCGGAATGAAGGGGCAGAAACGGCAGTATTTCAGGCTGCGAAGTTCCAGGTTTCACGTTAAAAAGTCCTCCATGCAGCTAGAAAAGCAGCACAGCTGGGAGGGGGGAAATTTTCCCCTGTATTCAATGCTTTTTAAAAAAAAAAACTCCTTTTTTATTATTTGTAATTTTTAATTGAACAATAATAATTGTTTTACAACCATAGGCAAACAATGCAAGATGACAATATAGAACTTAAAATATAGTGTGCAGCAGAGGATCCTAGGAGTCAAAAAGATCTAAAACACAGTTGTATAACAAAGTACAGAGAGATGGTACAATAAGAATTTAACAGAGTTAACCAATAAAACATTGCCAACTCTTAAGCCCTATACCTGTACATATTTTGATAGGGACAAGTACATGTGGAAATATCAAACCACGGCAAAAATGTAACTGGCGAGCAAATAAAAACACCGGTGCTCATAAAAAGGAAAAGGTGTTAAGCAAAGAAAGTATGACTGAACGATCCGTCAATGTGGGGAGCCTGGAAAAAGATTTAAGAGGAAGAGGAAGTAAATGTTTTTATGTATGGGCTTGTGCCCCCATGTGTAAGCCGCCCCGAGCCCGTTCACGGGGAGGGCGGGGTAAAAATGCAAATAAATTAAAAAATAAATAAATAGCCATTGCTGTAGCTGAGACCACTGAGGAGAAATGACATCATTTTTGTGAAAGAAAATCAAGTATCGGGTCCCATTTCCTATCAAAGGAGGACTTAGGAGGATTTGCTTGGATAGAATTTATTTTGTTAAAAAAAACCCTGCTTTTAAAAAACTATAGAGGGAATGCTAAAAAAGTTGCAAAATGCTGTTTATTCTTTGGATCTTACTGGGGATTTGATTGGGCACTCATCAGCTGTGCAGATGTTCCTCTATTTCGGTGAACATGGTCTGGCAACGTGCTCTGCTGATCATCTCATTATTTTTTGGAAAGATGGAGAACAAGAGTCTAGACTGCGTAGCTTAATGTTATTTCATAAATTAGAACAAAGTGAAGATTTGCAGCTTGGGATCTGAGATGACTTAACAAGAGATAAAAGTACATATGAAACACAAGTTATTTACAATTCTATGCAGAGTAACTCCAGTCTAAGCAATTTGATTTCTCTGCATAGCGTTCAAATGTTAAAATCTCAAATGCTGAATATAAGTTTGTATTGTATATCTTGACTCATTAAAATCCTTCTGATTAAAAAAAAATGCAAACAAAATAAATAAAAATGGGCAGGATATTTTGTCCTCCCAACCTTACAGCAGAGCGTCTATCACAGGTAGCAGACTGCAGGCGACCCTTTGCAGCCACGTGGCGCACCAGGCACGCTCGTCTTCCCTCCCCAAGCGCAAAACGCTCAGCCCCCCTGACGAGTCCCGGACCTCCATGGACTCAAACCTCGCAGGAGAGGGGGACACCGGACCGAGAGCGGCCTGTGAGGAGAGAGGAGTGGCGGCGGCGGCGTCGCCCTCGGCCGCCCACCCGGCCTCCCTCCCCCTCGCCTCCTCCGCGCCCCGGTAGCG